CTACCAGAAATTCAGGATCAAACTAAGATAGGCAAAATCCTTCAAGAAAACTATGAAAAACAATAGACACTTTAAGAGGATACAAAACAGTATGTAAGAAGGTGGATAATAAGCATTTTTCTATCAATAAAATCTCTATTTCTTATCCCTTCTAGCTCTGTAAGATGACACTTCACTTGTCAGTCCTTTTACTTTCTAGAACCTTCTTGTCTTTAGTAGAGAAAGTGTGTACTTGAGTCTTTTCAGGCCACTAGAGACTTAAGTTTTTATTTAAAGGAGTTTATAACAAGTATAGAAGGGTAGGAGAGATAAAGACAAGTTTTAAGTTATTTTAATGAAAGTGTAAAGACTTTATTAGTAAAGAAGTATAAAACTTCTTGTGAACATCTTTTTTGTATGTAATCAGAAAATCAGCAGAAAGAGTTAGTTACAACCATTAGTCTACATAATTATTTCTCATATTTTTTAAGTAATATAGTCCTTTAGCTAATAATATACAAAAGTAAGTTGGTCATTATATAAATAGTTTATACAAAAATACTGATGTTTATTTAATATTTCTATTTCAATAATAATTTGTGGATTAATAGTGCAGTGGGTATGCTTTCAGATCACCATTTGCAAATTATTGATTCAATCCCATTTCAGAACAGTATTTATATTATAGATTACATTATACAAGAATGCATACTAATCAGCCACATGCATACTTAGACATAAACAACCTATAGAAACTCACTGTTTGATCTCTATATAATAAAACAGGTCACACAGATCCTGATCAGTTTTAGTACTAAGCAAAAAAAGAGAAGATTCTTACTATTCAAAATATATAAATAAATTGAAAGAAAAGCCAGAAATCAATCCTAATTAGTCCATGCCTCCAATGGAAAATATGAACATTTGTCTTTTCTTGAAAAACACCCTCATGGGAGATTTGAAAAACTTTGATCATCTGTATCAGTCAAAAAATATAATGGATCATAACAAACTTGAATTAATGAGAGATCCTAAGAATTATGAAACCAATGGCTACCAGAAAGGATAGCTTGTAGTGAGACTGGTGATTAGTATTAATGTCATGATAAGAATCATAGCAAGTGGAGTTTGAGAGAAATCTAAGGCTTCATTCTATTAAGGAAACAATACTTTCTATAGGTTATACCTGAAGAGTAGTTAAAAATAATTGCAATGAAAGACTATATGTTATCTGCATAGTACACTATTGAATTACCTGAATATCAATACATGATTACTATATATGAAATAATCAAAATTAGAATTAGCTCTCTGAGGATTATATACAATAAGAATCATTCACGATATCCATCATTATTAAGTGATAACAAGCCCCTTGAAGATTAAAAAAATATGAAGTCTATAATAGATCTTCAGAATGCTATTGAACTAGGTAGAGCAAGACAACTGACAAAAATGATATCACCATATGGTAAAATTGATAGACTTGATTAGGATAGATAGTTTAAAAAATTATATAAATCACTTATATAATTTGAAAATATACTACTGATTCTTCAATAAAGGTTTATCCTGCCTATTGGACTTAATAAAAAAAAAAAAATTTTTTTTCTATTTTAATAAAGATATATTATAATAGTATAATTATAAATTAAAAAAGAAAATACTTTATATTTGAAAAAAAAAAATTTTTTTTTTTGTTATTTTAAAATTAAATAGTTAATAAATAAATTTATCAATAATATAAAAATTGAAAAAAAGATTTGTGAGTTAATAGTATAGTAGTAGTGCTCTTAGGTCATCAAGTATTGTTTCTGAGTTCAATATCATTGCAAGGTAGTATCACTTAAGCTTAGATGGTATAGGAAGATCTTATCTGATTCATGATAACAATTACCATCACTTAAGGTCAAGATCCCATTCAATTATGGGATAATCAAAGATCATAAGATGCTTCAGTCAGTTTTAATACTAAAGTTATCTCATCATATATGGCAGGTTCTACAAACTTTTGCAGATAGATTGAAGATCTGCTAGCCATAAAAATTGAATACTAATGGAACTCAAGTATATTAGTTAGAGAAAGGTCTCTATTAAATTAAGATCTATCCAAGACTCCACATAATCTTTCCATAGGCAGGTTATAATAGATCATGTAAAAAGGGTTTTTGGTGAAATAAGATAACATCAAAGATTCCACATGGGTACTCTGTAGGTATACTGTAATAAGTATTGTAAAAGGAATACTAAGTGGAACAAGATATGAAAGGGGTCCTGTATCTTGACCTGATGAAAGCTAGAAAGGGGAATACAGATGTAGGAAGAGGGGTAGTAGGGCTTCCTCTGGCAACAAGCCACGTAGATGTTGATAGTGGCTGTAATGGCTACTTGGCTGTAATAGCTACTTGTCGCAAAAATGGGTTTATCACTTAATTTACAAGGTTACAAGAAAAAGCAAGATGTAAATTGGATAGATTTCAAAGTATAGCACTATGTAATTTGTATTCAGTCACGCTGTGGCTTTACAGTAATAAACTTGGCTTCGTTTAACCCCCCCCCAAAAAAAATAAAAATAAAAAATAAAAATTGAAAAAATAATAATTTAAATAAATGATAACAAATATTTTTTTTTTATTAAGAATGATAATTTCCAAGATATGAACTTTAAAAAAAGATAATACACAAATAATTATGGATTTATAAAATGAAGAAAATTCTTTCAAAAAAGTCCAAAGATAAGCAATTGCTTTTGAAGAGTCATTAATCAAATTATATTATATTTAACCATCATTGTAAACACCCATATAAACAAGATCCATTAAAGTCCGGGAAAATTAATGTATTTCCATATTTTTACATTATTGAGAAATATGTTTAATGCTTTTATTTTTTGCCAGCCAACTGGTTGGGATTTTCCATTTTTCGGCAAATTCATTTGCATCCTTTATCCTTTTCTTCATGATCATGGTTTTATATATGTTCACCAAGATATAATCCGAGGGAATTAAATTGTATTTTTCTTTCATTGTTTCCAATAGTTCACAGGAAGCTCTAGTCTTTCCTTTGTCACACAAATATTTTATCAGGAGACGGAATATCTGTTGATCCGGCTTGACATTGCAAGATAACATCTCGTCAAAATACTGTTGTCCCCTTTGGATGCTCGAATTATTGCAAGAATGGAGGATGAGGGTGTTGAACAATTGAATGTCTGGCTTGTCGTAAAATTTTAAAATTCTATAGCAATTGTCCATCGCTGATAAGTCACCTTTATAACCGTACGCACTGATCATTGACCTCAGCGCCCGAACGATTGCCCATATGTGATATCGCAATTCCCAATGTGATTCAGCATCCAAATTTCTTTGTAAGTCAAATTTATTATCGAGAATATTCTGAGCGGCTTCGAAATTTCGTGCACAACAATGCAAACGTACCAGTAATGAATAAGTTGTCAAATTAGCTCTCAACCCACTTCTCGTGAGCTTCCCCACAATGTAATTTGCCTTCTTCAGGAGAGGTCTTTCTCGGTGCAAGCAAGAGGCCAAGTAGGAATTGTACATATATATGGTAGGTGTGATTCCTTTCTTCGAGGATTCCACCCAAAGATTTTCACAAATCCTGCTATGTCTTATTCGGCTAAAGACATTTAACATGTGGGTGTAGTCTATTATGCCTGGTTGGTGACCAACTAACTCCATTTGCCTGAAAATATAAAGAAGTTGGTCCGAGAAAAGTTTAATGCTGGACGAGTTTTTTTTTGGAAGTTTTCTAATGTCAAAGAATTTTAATACTAAGGAATGTTGAATGGGCGATAGTAGATGGAGTTTCTTCGCGTTGTTGAGATCTCGATAAATTTTCCATGCTTCTGCCTTCTTATTTAGTTGGATCGCGCGAAGAAGAGGCAGGACTTCCTTAGGAGCGACACATTCCAAGGGGAGATCGGTCGTTTCTTCTTCGGGGGGTTCATATAAAAAAGAACGGGGATTTATCGAATTTGTGTAGTATTTTCGGGATTTATCATTTATCAACCAGAATTTAACTTTGAAGTTGTCGCGTATGACATTGTGACGCAACGAAGTTGAAAAATGGAGCTTACTACACATTTCACACAATGGAAGAAACGTTTTTGTAATTCATAAATAATTTAACCTCTGATTGGTTATGATTAAACCATGCATTAAGTGTGTTACTTACTAAAAATGTATTCGACTAGTAATTTAAAGAATCATTGTCAAGTAATTACCACCATTACCTTAACCACCTTAAAATGTCGGATGCTAAATACTTTCAAAGAGGTTAGTCAGTGATTGTCGACGAGGTTTTTCGTAAGGCCTCAAGCTCTTCACTTTTTTGACGACGAACTTAATATCATAATCAAGGAAAAATCCATGAACTCCGTACGGAGTTGAACTCGGAAAAAAAGGATAAGCAGCACACAAAGAAGAAGACAGTACTTAAGAAGATTGTGGCCAACATGACAATGGGCAACGATATGTCCCCTTTATTTCCTGATGTAATTAATTGCATGCAGATTCCGGTGCTAGAAATCAAAAAAATGGTGTATCTTTATTTGATCAATTATTCGAGAACGAAGCCGGATATAGCAGTTATGGCAATACCCACGTTCATAAAGGTAAAGCAATTATTTTCTCTAAGGTTTGTTTTCGAAAGAACTATAGATGACAAACGTGTTCAGACTTTCATAGGACGCCGAGGATCACAACCCACTGATCCGTGCACTGGCGATTAGAACCATGGGATATATCAATGTCGATAAGATAGTTGACGCGTTGATTGACCCTCTGCGACATTGTTTACGTGATCAGGATCCATATGTTCGTAAGACGGCTGCAATTGCTGTTGCCAAATTATACATGTATGATAAAGGACTTGTTGAAAGTGAAGGCTTCATAGATTTACTGAGAGATCTGCTCGCTGATGCAAATCCTACGGTATCAATATTATGTCATTTATCACACGTTGAATGTCGTTTGATCCGAATTTCGATTAATCCACTTTCAAATTTTTAGGTCGTCGCGAACGCTGTTGCTGCATTGACTGAAATATCCGAGAGATCGGATAACATATCGCTAAAATTGAATATGACAGTTTCCAACAAACTAGTGGCTGCCCTAAATGAATGTTCAGAGTGCGTATATGCAAATACTTTTGTTAAAAAATTGAGATAATATATTAAAGAAAAAAATTTTTTCTTTTTGTTCCAGGTGGGGTCAGACATATATATTAGAAGCGTTGATGCTGTTTGTGCCTCAGGAAATTGGTGACGCTGAGTTGTTGTGCGAACGAATTGCCCCACGGTTGCAACATGCTAATTCCAGTGTTGTTCTTACCGCTGTCAAAGTGATAATGTATCTACTAAATTATATGACCAAAGAAGAAGACATAACTAATATGTGTAAAAAATTATCGCCTCCATTAGGTAATAGATCATCCGGTTTATTTTTAGGGTCGTGATGAACTCAATTAAAAAATAATAATAATAATAATAATTTTTTTTTTTTTTTGATTTTTATAACAGTCACCCTTCTCTCGAGCGGACCTGAAGTCCAATATGTGGCCCTTCGGAACATCCTTCTGATCATCCAACGAAGGCCCGATGTTCTGAGAAACGACATCAAAGTTTTCTTCTGTAAATACAATGATCCTATTTACGTTAAATTAGCTAAACTTGAAATCATGTATCGTTTGTCTAATGCGATCAACGTGGACCAGGTTTTATCGGAATTAAAAGAGTATGCATTTCGTTTTGCACGGCTAAAGCGTGTTTCTACTGATTTAGTGAATAGCTAATTAATATTGATTCCAAAATTTAAACAGGTATGCAACAGAAATCGATGTTGACTTTGTGAGAAAGGCCGTACGATCTATTGGTCGTTTGGCGGTTAAAATAGAATCGACAGCTGACCGTTGTATATCCGCTCTGTTGGAACTTATACAGACAAAGGTTAATTATGTTGTGCAAGAGGCTATTGTTGTAATAAAGGTATTTAAGTTCTAAAATTATATCACATTAGAATATTTTTATGTGACGGCGAGTGACATTACAGTTGTCACATTGACAAGGACATATTCCGACAATATCCAAATCAATACGAGAGTATAATTGGAACACTGTGTGAAAACTTGGACAATCTGGATGAACCAGAAGCAAAAGCTGCGATGATATGGATTATTGGTCAGTATGCAGATCGTATCGAGAATTCGGACGAATTATTAGACGATTTTCTTTTTACTTTCCTGGAGGAGCCTGTTGAGGTATTTCCTTATACTATTTCTACCCATGAACTTTAATAAGTGAAAATTGACTGGCTCCGTCATTTTTAGGTTCAGTTATCATTATTGACAGCTACCGTTAAATTGTTTATAAAGAGGCCTAGTGCTGGGCAAGAGCTGGTCCCCAAGGTTTTGAGGTGGGCGACGGAAGATGTTGATAATCCCGATTTGCGCGATAGAGGATATATTTATTGGCGGTTGTTATCCACCGATCCGGTTGCCGCAAAGGTAAGATCTTGTAAAAAAAAATTCTTACACGTGAATTCTGTTAACTTTATGTTTTTAAAGGCCGTCGTCTTATCGGATAAACCACGTATTTCTACCGAAAGTGACAACATGGAACCTGTTATGCTAGACGAACTTCTTTTACATATCTCAAGTCTTGCATCTATATATCATAAATCTCCACAAACATTCATTCAAAATGCCAAACCGAAGTTTTTAGTGCCATCTCCAGTACTAAATAGCAGATATCCTGGACAACGACGAAATCATGATTCAGATTTTGGCGATCTGTTATCAGGGTAAGCTCGAGCTTGAAGATTCTAAATGACGTAGCGACGTTACATTTTAATAACATTAATTATATAAACATGCTAACAGGTCCTTTGGAACTTTTGAAGCGAATCCGTATAATGTGAACACCGTTAATCTCGGTGATAATATCGTTGAAAACCTGCTTTTGGATTTATAATAGAAACACTAATTTATTTTAATCTGTAATCTAGGATTCTTTTATTATTAGTTATGCATACATAATATAAAAATATTGTACAGTACCAAATTCAGGAAATTATTTTATAGAGTACTTGGTTATGCGTAGGATTTAATATAATTCCTTTGATATGAGATTAAATTTATCTTTTTTTTTTCGGAAGTTTTTGACTCAGACAAATGTTTTTTTACAGGTGAAAGTCATAGAAATGTTTAGTTGTTTCTTCTTTCTGGAAAAAAAAAAAAAAAACACGTTTCTAGAACTTAAACATTTCACAAATGTTGAAGAATTCAAGCATTCTGTTTATCGAAAGAATGTTCGAGACACACGTTTTAAGTAACCACGTCTTATTCCAGTTTGTCGGTTCGATGAGTATGAACTCGTCTCATGGTTATGGGCAGTTTGAAAAAAAATGTGAGAAATATAATAACTAAATTTCAGACATCTAATGAATGAAATAACTAGAAATCATGAATTTTATTTCTCAATTCTTATCTCTACTATTCTTTGACTTTCCAACTTCATCACCCTTCCCTTCAATTATACCCTTGATCCGATGTTTCAGATAATACATTCTCTTGCCCAACTCATTATCTCTCATTCCCAACAAATATCTATCCAATCCACCTCTTCGATCGATAATCCTCAACGTTTGAGGCGTACACTTAATCTCAAGCCGTTTGTCTAATGCTTCCGAGTATAATTTTACAAGATGCACATTGGGCTTCCACGTGCGTCGAGATTTATTACCGAACTCGGAAATTTGATTGCCAAATTGGATATGCGCACCGGCGTAAAGACCCTTGTTCGCCTGTTTGTAGGTGCGTTGCTCCATGTAAGGTGGTTTCTCGCGTACCTTTTTCGATCTTTTCTCTTTGACCACCGGTGACTTTGGTTCCGGCTCGCGAATGGGATAACCAAATTTCGCGCGAATTCCACCTAACATTCCACGGCGTACATGTTGTACCCTGAGTTGTTGCTTTAAGAGGTTGAGTGTCGGGTGCATATATCTAGGCGATCTGAAATTAATTCCGAAAGCTATTGAAGTTGGTTAATCACGTCCGCCGATCTTCTTCAAATTTGGTTGATGGATAAAATCAAATGTACAGATTAATTAAAGTATTGGCGTTTCTTTTCAAAACTTTTTATTTTTATTATTAAAGATTATAATATAATTGATTTTATATCTAAAGTTTACAATTCTAAAGTTTTAAGTTTTTTAAGTTTATTTATTTTTTATTTTATTTATTTTTTATAATATCTTTCTTTATATTTTGGTTATTTTTTTTATTATTATACTATATTCTATTTTATTTTATATTTTAATTTTATTTAAAATTATTTAAAATTATTTATTTTTAATTAATAAATTTATTATTTTTTTAATTATTTTTCTTAAGTTCTTATTTAAATATTTTTTATTTTTATAATATAATATATAATTTTGAAATTCCTATAAATTTCTAATTATCACTTTCAAAGAAATAATTTTTTAAAACTTTATATTTTTAAAATAATAAACTTTATTTAACAGTAGTTATATTCTATCTTTCTTATTTACTTTTTTTCTTTAAAAACTTTTTATTTAAGAAGTTAATAGCAAAAAACTTTTTTAGAAAAAAAAAATCAAATGAAAAAATATTCTTCTTCTTTTTATTATAGAGATCTCAAAGTTTAAAAAAAAATATAAATCAATAACTTTATGTCAACCTGATAAATTAATAATATTATTATAAGCAAAAATAATTTCTTTTTTTAGTGTATAATGATTTTTTCTTAATTTTTTAAAAATTTTTATTTAACCTAAATTGATTTTGAATTTTTTGCTATATTAAATTTTAAATAAATTGATTAGTTGATGATTAAAATTGATTATTTTATATTTAGGTAAAATATAAACAAGAATATATATAATATATGATATAAATATATTTCTTAAATTCTATAAAAATCTTAGATCTATTATTAATTATGTAATTCAATAATATGAATAGTAGATCTATGGATCTATAGCATAGTAGTAATGTTCTCAGGTCACAATTACAAGATCCAAAGTTTAATATTATATAAGAGTCAAGTGAAAATATTATATATAATAAATTCAATATTCTATTAGGTGATAGTAAAATGTTATTGGACATAGACCTGATTATCTTATTGATAACTAAAATGAAAAAATATATTACTTTATAGTGTTACATATAGCTGATCTTTATTGGATCAAGTCAGTTTATAGGTATTGTAAAATAATCAATATCTTATTAGTGTTCTGATAAAATGTAAATAAATAGGATTGATCTCATGGTTAACTAAAATAAAGATTGAATTGATATTAGATATTTTAATGATCTTATCAATTGCAAGAGATTGCTATAAGTCAAAAAAATTAAAGTTCTGAAGAGAATAAAATATTGTATCAATAGAATGCTTAAAAGTATAACCAGTTGTTATTGTTTATTATTGAAAGACCTTAATAAAAGAAAAAATTTGTGAATTATATCAAAATTACAAATCTAAAGATAGGTTAGAGCAAATACAATGGTCTAATAATTAGATTACTTTATAAAATTGTTCTAGGAAAAATTAAAAAAGTATTGTATAATTTTTCTTAATGAGTTAATTAATATATATAGTATATAGTACATTTAATATATATAAATCATTATATATACAATATTATTTCTAAGTAAATAAAAATTATAGCTAGAAAAATAAAAGTCCTTACTACTTAGAATATATGAAAATACTAAAATAGTCAAAAAAGATTCTAATTAGTTCAAGCCTCCAACAAAAATATAAACATTTACTTTTTCTTGAAAAATATCCTTATAAAAGATATAGAAGACTTTAGTTATTTATATCAATAAAAAATGTAATAGATCATTAATGGAAAATTATATGAATTATAAAATCAATAGCTATCAAAGAAGATAGTTAAATATATAGACTGGTGATTAGTATTAGTATCATGATGGGAGCTGTAGTAAATAGATATGTTTGGAAGAGATCTAAAGTCTTGTTTGATCAAAGAATATCTTTTGTAGGTCATACTTAAAGAATAATTAAAAATAATTATAATTAAAGACTATATATCACTAATAAAACATATTATTAAACCACCTAGATATCAATACATAACTATTATACCTATATAAATTAAGGTTTAAATTAGTTCTTTAAGAACTAAATATGACAAGGATTATTTATGGTATTTACTATCATCAAAAAATAAGCAAGAATATTATAAGAAACATATATTACAATTTATTAAATATTAGAATAAGAAGTTTAATAGTGGATTCTTAAAATACTATAAATACAGACAGAATAGAACAACTAATAAAAATAATACTACTAAATAGTAAAATTAATATATTAGAAAGAAATAGATAATTAAAAATAAGGTTATATATGAATTCTCTTGTAATTTAAAAAATATACTACTGAATATCTCAATAAAGCTTTGTCCTATCAGTTGGATTAAAAAAAAAATAATATGAATAAACAAATATTATATAAACTATAATTTTTTTTTTTTTTAAACCCTCTGTCAGGCTAGTTATGTGTGCTTTATTAAACAATTGTAAGCTATACATATAGTAT